AGAACAACACGGGCATGTGAGGTTCGTCAGTCATTCGGAGCGGCTGTTTTTACTAACTAAGTGGGCCTCGTTGTGTTCTAGCTTTCTGTAGGAGAATGAAACAAAATGGCTTCACATTGTTGGATGGAAGCAAACTGTGTTTTTTTTTTAAAACAAGAATATTTCTGTAAATATCTCTATTGGAAGATGATGGGGTTTTAGGTAATGGTTCCTACAACTGAACTAAAAGAAAGTATTGATGTAGCCATCCGTCCAGACAGTTCTTTACTATTTGCTGTGTTCCACAGCCTATACACAACCAATATACAGCAAGACTCACTTGTTTTTTCATTAAAGAAATTTCATTGATTTTTCTCAGTAAAATCTTCGAGTAAGTATTAAGACAGATCCATGTCAAGGACATGGTTCTGACCATGATGAAGTAATAACTGTTGGAAAACCTTCTTATCATTAAGAAAATAAAGACCAAACAAAAACATGGGCCCAGATAAAGGGCTAGGCAGATAAAGGCACCTGCTGTCAGCCTGAGTACACAGGTCTTATCCCTGGGACCAAGTGGAAGGACAACACAAACTCCTGACAAGTAGTTTTCTGACCTCTGCATCTATGCCATGGTGTGTGTGTGCACACACATGTGTATGCGCACACACACTTGATGGCAATAAAGTTTATACATTTCAAAATGAAAACGATTTCAGAAGCATAACCTAGAGCCGTCTGCAAGCCTACAAGCTAATATACCTGTATTAGAAAATATATTGGAAAAGTCTAAAGTACAAAAACCTATGTAATAAACTTAGAAGCCAAATAACTCTACCTAGAAAGTAAACAGTGGTAAATGTGAAAATTAAAACTACGCAACAGCGAAAGTAAAAGAAACAGAAGGAAACGTTTTGGAAAAGCTTAGCAAAATTGATAAATCCATATCCAGACATTAGAAACCGGAGGAAACAATACTGTTGCTCGGATTCTACTCAGTTGTAAGTGACTTTATGTCAGTGGGCCCTGCAACATATATGAAAGAGACCAGTTGCTGCGTGGGATATACATAGGGCTGGGACATAGGATAGGGTAGAGTAGAGTGCTTTTAGCATGAACAGGCCCTGGATTTACTCTCTGCCACAGACCTGTAGGACGTACATACTTAGGAAAGCAATACAGAAGCATAGAGCATTCAAACTGCTCGGAGTCTGCTAAACAAATTGAATTTGTCTTTTAAAGATCTTCTAGCACGTTCTGCCATGATGCTGACAGACCACATTTGAGAGCCTGTCAGGCTGTGGTCTGTGAACAAGTTAACACAGCCCTTCTGGTCAATGCTTGTCTTCCATAATTGATTAAATGACATGGTACAAACTAAAAGTGTTCTCCTTGGGTGAAAAACATAATAATTAACTAATACTATCTTTAGTTAGGAGCAGTTCATCTTCTAACTTACTTCAGAAAGTGTGTGTCCCTACTACCATGAGACAGCTTCAGTATTTGTGTTTGTGAAATTACGTATGAATAAGTGTGCAATGGGATTTCCTGGGTGAACACGCTGGGTATAAGCACAGTTGTACTCTTTCTGGACATGCTGCTTTAACTGTGAGAATTAAACCAAGATGATGCTATTTTTAGCAATAACAGTTTGGTTTTGGGTCCTGAAGCAGAAAGAGGAATGGAGTATCTGTGTATGTTTTCATGTATATGTGTGCAAGAGGGAGTCTTTTCTTTCAAACATTGCCCTTTGTTCAGACACCAACTTAGAGGTGTGGGGATGCAGTTCAGTTGACAGAGGACTTGCCTTTTCATGCGTTAAGCCCTGGGATCATTCCCTAGAATTTCACAAATGCAGGACATTGGCACATGCTTGTAACTCCAGCAAACAAGATGTGACTGCAGGAAGGTCAGAAGTTCAAGTCATTCTGTGGGTGGTCCTGGATTGTGTAAAGAGAGTAGTCTGAGCAAGTCAGCAAGCAGTCCGCCTCCAGGGCCTTTGTCAGTTCCTTCCTCCGGGTTCCTGTCCCGAGTTCTTGCCTGGACTTACCCGGATGATGAACTGCAAGCAGTCATGGAATAAAACCATTCTTCCCCTAGTTGCCTTTGGTCAGGATGTTTTACCACAGCAATAGAAAAACCAAGTAAGAAATTGGTGCCACATCAAAGAGTATTGCTCTGACACACCCGACCTTGAGATTTTGGGAGGATTGTGGTGGCCTTTGAACTTTAGGCTGGAAAAGCTGTTGAGTGTTGAGCTCAGTGGGTCATTCTGTGGGTGCTTGGAAGACAGAAAGAGTGAAAGAAGTGTAGACGATGGAGGCGCTGCTTGTGAAGTTTTAGAGGGAAGTAGACACTGTCAGTGTCGCTTGTGTGATATTTTAATGAAGAACCGCTGAAGTCAAACCTTCCCTTTACTGTTACAATTGACTCTGGTCAGATGGAGCTGAGAAATCAGTGGTGATTAAGAAGGGACGAGCATCACTGAAGATCATAAAACTGGGAATATTTCCTCAGGGACAGGATACAGAAGTTGTGGCCAGAGACTGTATCTCATGCTGGCAGGTAACATTACCCAGATAGTCATGAAGGAGTCGAGGAGACAACTGAGGTTTGACACTGTGAGTTAGGGATGGGGTCCATGAAGAGAGGCCAGAGAGGCCATTACTGAAGGTACAACCTCGGTTGCAGTACAAGCTCCAGGATCCAAGGTGTCATGGAGAAAAGTTGAGGCTTGGCAAAATGTGGCATGGGCAGAGTCCCTCAAGAGAGCCTTGGAGAAGCTATGGGTGAAGGTGGAGCTGAGTTGAAGAGACCCTAGAACTTTGGAGAGGCCTGTAACATGGATGAACAGCAAGGACGACAGCAGCCATGGAACCAGCCTGAGCCCGTTGAGATAGTACATGCTGCGGCAAGCCCTCTGGAGCCGTGGAGTGGAACCAGCCCGAGCCTGTGAGGTAGTGTGCTGTGCAGGTTCCTTGGAGCTAAGAAGGTCACCAGTCACAGAAATCTGACAGATGAACTGTACAGTGTTGGATTTTTCCTAGAATGTGAACGTAACTGTTCTCTGGCTCTTCCCTCTTGGAATAAGAAAATATTCAACTTGGTTTTTTTTTTATATTTTATAAGAACCTACAGTTACGAGGATTTGGATATTAATGTACATTGTTTCAAGTTGACAAGGAGTCAATTGTGCTGACCATTTTTTAAGTCAGCTTAGTACAGGCTAGTGATTTTAACCATCCTCTCGCATAAAATTTCCCTTGATATTTTCATCTTTAAATTTCAAATAAGGAAGGGGATATAAGAACAGATAATGGGACTTATATTATTAAATGCATTATATTATAAGTGAAGTTTACATAACTAAACTTCTTATGGGTGTATTGACGCTTTACTAAGTGACCATTTCTTTTGCTTGGGATCTTTGGTGTGGATATATGGATCTCTTGGCATCTTGTATTCCTTTAAGTGGGTTCTTGTAGTAAGCATTTATGCTATTTTTGCTCAAATAGTTCATCCCCATTTCCTGACAATATATTAATACATTTCTACTCTTTTCATAGTCATTGTTTCTAAACCAAGTCTTACTGAAATTCTGATGGATTTTGCTTTTCAGAAGGTATTAATTAATACTTGTGGTTTTTTTCCTTTCTGAAACTAAACTTCTGACACTTTAAACAACACGGTACTTGACTGGCTATTTTTTACAGGGCTGAATTTATTCCAGCCACAAGTAATGCATATCATTTTCCTTTTAATGTTTGTATTATATTTCTTTCTAATGCCAGCAAAAGAGCTCTGAGACTTCTGGTACAGAATGGTGATAAAGAAGACAGCTAACCCACGACATGGTTGCAGCGTGGGTGCTTTGTTGTCTTCTCAGGCTTGCCCTAGCTTTTCTTCCTAGCTTGTCCTTTTAAAAGTTTACTTCTTAGGCAGTTCCGAGTGCCTATCCGAGTGGGATAGTGTGAGCTATCCCAGTGTGTGTTTGGTGTGGTGTGTTTGATTTTTCAGCCACTATGCTCTTCCAAGGTTTATTCTCACTCATTGGTGAACCACACAGGGCAGTTTTCCTGCTGAGTCAGCATGTCATCTTCAGGACTGCAGCAAAGGTCTAAAGCCACCCAGAGCAAACCCGAGCCATGTAGAGCTTATCCTGAATGAGTAAGACTGGTATATTTAGATTTAAAATCTCCGCTGCCTTTCCTCCCATTCAATAAGTAACAAGAAATAAATCATGGCTTTCTTCTTAAAGAATTGATTTTGAAAACTTGACTTCATTTCCAAAATAAGGTATTTTATATATTTAAATGTATTTGTTTTAAAAAACCCTTAAAAATATAAAACCAGTTTTTCAGTTCTGTGGGGGATTATGGATTAGAAAATGACTTGCTGATGTAGCTTCGTTTTCTGCAATGCATTATCTTGATTTTGCAAGTGAACTTTCAAGTTTTTTGTTTGTGCAACTAAGTTTCTGTGACCTTTCTTCCTGAATGAGCAGCACAGCCTATCTGAAACATTAGGACTTTGTCCTGGCAAGGGTCAGTTTGCAGAAAGCTTTTAGTTGGTCTGTACTGCCTGGTTTAAATAGCCAAACACCTGCTGAGCAAGCCCTGTGAGTGGCTGTGCAGGCTTCCTCACTTAGGCCTTGCAGGGCTGGAGCACAAAGACCGCGATTGTTACCCAGTAAGCCCGAGTCACATCCTTCTACCAATCGCCTTAGGAGGGCTGGTTACCATGGAATCCACCATCTGTTCACTCCCCGCTGTCGGAATGTGATTATCCTTGCTGGGCTGAGACTGTGGGGTTAGCAAGGCAGCCCATGTAGTGTGAGATTATCTGCAGTGCACTGGGCATTGGGAGACTCCGGCTGGCTTCACCGGAAGAACAAATGAGGGCAGTTGTGCTCCAGCCATTTGTGACTTGTAACCACAAGGAAATAAATCAGCTCTCCTAGGGTAAGTAGCCCGGCGCTGCATATCCAGTTTGTACGGCATTTGGTGTGAATATCATCTCTCTGTGGTCAAGGAAAGGAAGCCCTAAGATCTTCGGTAAGATGCCCCCTGAAATGCTTACACCCCGTCTTATATTGTTTTCAGACAACCTGTACCATTTACGTGCTGGAATTATCCTGTAATGTTTAAAAGTATCTCCTGCTTGTGAAAGTGTACTGTGATCGTAGAATGTGGCAAATAGACAGTCATCTTGTAATGGCTTCTCCGGTGAATTACACCGGTGTTCTTACTGAAATACACCCACGGCGACAGCGGGTTCAAGGTTCGTTCTTCTTTAAGGGATGACTCCTGCCGGCGGCATTTGTAGATTTTGCAGAATTGAGGTTTTTGCTGGAGCACATGTGTGGAGTGTGGTGCTGATGGAGTGCTTCTGCCCGGGATCCAGGGGCCGGTGCATGTGGAAACAATGTGACAGTGCGTGGTGACAGATGGAGGCTCCCCGATAAGGGAGGGCTGAGCCCCGGCTCGCCTCGCAAGAGCTTCCTTTGTGATTGTTGCTTCTCCTTACCCACAGCTACTTAAAATGTGCATTGCATATTGTAAGCGGCAGAAGGAAATTTTAATTTTAACAAATGGATGACTGACATTTTTCCCTGGTGGCTCAGAGGTTGGTAGCTCGAACAAGGGACTACTATGTCCTTTGTAAAGCAGCATTGTATCTCCTTCCCCCCAAACTGTGCCCTAAAATAAGGAAGTGTGGAACAAAAACAGCTGTCTATTCTGGAGCTGTCTTTTGTGTCAGTACCTCTGCCGTTGAAACCCCGGCACGAGCACCCCGAGTTTGGCTGGTCTGCCATTTTATCTTCTGTAGGGAAGGCTGCAGTCGGAGGCTCTGCCTGTGCAGTTCAGTCAGGCTTGAACTGGGGTGTCCTCTTGGGTGTTAATATTAGTGAGCCAGTGGCTACTTAGGGAGCTAGAAACAGTCACCGGTCACAGGCACTACGCTTTTTCTTTTTGAACCGTATGAAATAGGTAACCTGGCATTCCTCAAGGACTCATGCTTGTGTTTCATTAATAGTTTTCAAGCCTACTTTTGTGCAGTCCTGGTACTAACTGTAGTTGACTTTAGTATTCTGCGTTTATGTTAATTTTTTAAAATATGCAAATTAATCTAGGTACATAGTATCTTGAAGAGATATCTTTCACCAATACTAAACATTTGTCTACCTGAAAACTTCCTAATAACTATACAAAGTTTCCAGTTAATCTTGTGTTACTCGGAAATTTTTTTTAACTAATCAAAATCAATAAACATTTTAAGGTTTATAAAGTCAAATCATGTATATTTAGGTGTTATTGTTGCTCTAATTACCCTGTATCTTAGAAACCTGAAACAGTATTGGGGTGAAGCGTGTTATCACAGGCCTTGGCTGTGGTCATTCTATCTGCTCTTCGCCAGTTGACATCTGTGACTGTGCTGCTATTTTCCAGTCACCAACTTCAGTTAGCAAGGTGGTGTTTCTAAGTGGAGGTCTGTCACGATGTTGTAGGCTTTGGCAGGTAAACTTGGAAGCATATTTCTTAAGATCCTGCTTGTTCAGGTTTCTAGCATGGCAAACCCATGAAGTTTGGTGAAGTATGATCAAAATCTTTAGCAGAATTTTTATATTGAAAAGAAAACGTGACCTGGCTGGATGTAAAACAGTCGCAGTGCCCAGCTATCTTACCTGCCAGCACAACACTCTCACGAAAGTCCAAGGCAGACATGGAATTCACTGGAGAGAACTGAATGAGCAGTCACTCACCTATGACTTTACAAAGGGATTTCATTTTGTCTGATGTGGATAACACTGTGATGAATATTTTTCTTTTCTATAATTAAAAAATATCTCTATCTGGGTGCATTTAAGATACATTAAAAGGAATAAAAAAGTTCAAAGGCTTTGTTATATTGGCCACTGACAAACTTAGCAGCTTTAGGGGGTGACCCCAAATGAGATTAGTGAAGACCACAGGCAGGGCCAGTCATGCCGAGCACTGGTGGTCCTTACCCAGACACTCCGAGTCTAGAGTGCAGAGCAAGATGGCTAGTCCTCACTTCGTGTGGGTTTAGACCCTCTACTCATGGCCTTTCCACACTGGTACCAGCCCTGGTGCTGGCTCTTTTCATGAGGATTGAGAAGCCATGAATTCTCAGGTCTGCTGAGAGCACTGGCTTTGCTTGTCCCCATCTTTCCAAGGGTGGGGGCTGCTAGTTTCTTGAGCCTTCTGCTAACTCTCCCAATGCTGTCTTTTCAGTTCTTCAATGTAATTTAGGAGCCATGTGTGTTTTATGTTGATAAATATGTAAAATGAACTATTCAGAGTTCTTTCGCATAAAAATATTAAATAGGAAACAAGTAGAAAACTAAATAAAGTTCTAAGCGTGATTCAAATCATCACTGTGAAGGCATACAGATCACCCTACTGTCAATTTACCATGGTCATATTTTTTGCTTTTTTATGTGAGCCATAGCACTGAAATGCTACCTATAAGTAAGTTGGTCATAGGACTAATACTAGTAGTTAATTTTGAATAATTTTCTTCCTGTTTTTAAATTTTTTTTTTTTTTTTTTTGGTTTTTCGAGACAGGGTTTCTCTGTGGCTTTGGAGCCTGTCCTGGCACTAGCTCTGTAGACCAGGCTGGTCTCGAACTCACAGAGATCCGCCTGTCTCTGCCTCCCGAGTGCTGGGACTAAAGGCGTGCGCCACCACCGCCCGGCTTTTAAAAAAAATTTATTCAAATTTCTGAGTTAAATCCTTCTGTCTCTTTAGAGCATAGAGTCATTCTTTTCAAGTTCATTCTTTGAGGCCCCTGTGACCTGCTTTGTCCTTGAGCTGGGATGATGGAGTAGAAGTGGGTGTTTAGGTCAGAAAATCAGGGTATCCTACCATTGTTAGCAAATGCTGCTCCGCCTAGAGGCACTTGGAACTGCCTGTTTGTTGTTTGTTTTGTTGTTGTCGTCGTTGTTTAGTAGATGTACTGAAAATTTTTTCCTCTTCTCCCACAATTCTGTATTGTCATGATTTCAGGTAGTACTTAGAATGAGTCAATACATGAGCAGAATTCCGTACTGTGTTAGATGCAAAGCCTGTAACACATGCACGTTGGAAAACGTAAAGTCACGCAGACGCTGCGTTTGGGGAGCAGCCTTTCAGCTGGCCCTCGATTCCAGCGCTGGCTGGTCTGAGTTGTCTTCTTCTGTCTCGTTGACCCCTGAGCTGCTCTGCTACACAGAGGCCAGGTTCCCTTAATGTTGCAAGGAGTCAGCCTCTCTGGGCCACAAAGAGCCCCTTCGTGGACAGCATCGTTTTTCTTTTTTCTCCTTCAGTTCAGGTCACCTTATCTTGGAAAGATGCCTAGAAACACCTTATTCTTAGAAGAGTTTTTTCTTGTACGAATAGCCACACTGTAGTGCTTGGCTCTTTTGTAACCATGTGTCCTTTCTTTCTCCCCTCTTCATCTGTCTCAGCCTTTTCTAGTTTTATTTGTGGATTGTTTTTGTTTGTTTGTTTGTTTGTTTAGGTTATGGGTTTCCTTGTCTTGGACCCAGATGAGTGAAACAGACCTGGTATATTCACGTAGGCAGTCAGGCTAACTTGGAGTTTTCCAGTTCCTATTGTATATCTGTGTATATACATTTCTGTAAAGATTCCAATAGGAACAGAATCATTTAGCTTTTATCCCAATTTAGAGAAGAATTTCAGGCCTATAAAGATGAAACAGTTATCCCAGGTTACAAAACCTGTGAAATTGCTCACGTTGGTTATGGCAGGTTAAATATAGAACTGAGAGCGAGGTCACTGACTTTACTCCTCTGATGAGGAGCGAACATGGGGGAAGGACTCCCTAAAATCCCACTCGTAGAATTTTCAGTGAGTATTGAGAGCACAGAGTATCCAGAGAGTATTGAGATACTTTTCTCAGTTATCAAATTCACAAGAAACACAGGTTTCTTATGAATGTTTGACATTTAATGAGGCAAAGCTGTCAAACCAAGTAGATTCCCAGATGCTTAGTTAGTATGTTTTCTCCCTATGACTGTCTGTACATGAACGTTAAATGACAACCAGGATCTTGCTGGGTGACTCTGAGGTAGGCGGGGTGGAGTGGGGTAAACACTAGGAGAGAGATAGTCCAAGGTACGGGGATAGCTATAATCTGCGGGACACACCTGTCACCTAGATAATCTGCCCTGTTGTGGCCCAGTGGGTCTCTGCCTTGGACATCACAGTGCTCAGCCTGGGTGGCTTATCTCATTCCCACTTCCTCTGTTCCTTCACCAAGCACATGTCCACCTTTCCTAAGAAGCCCCTTCATACTATCCGGACCTTCTGTGACGATGTTACTGTCATTACTGTTAACTTTTCATTTCTTCATATAATAATTATCAAATGTTGACTTTGTGCTAGGTGCTAGGATTTGGCGCTAGGGTGCAAGCTGATTGGTGAAATTTTCACAAAAGAGGGATAAGACATTATAAAAGTAAAAAGAAATAATTGGGCTTTTAAGCAATGTCCATTTTCTGAAGACAGACAAGTGTTGAGGGGTTGGGGTAGGAGGCTTTAGATTAGGTAATCAGGAATTGTTTATATAAACATAAGACCATCACATGTGGTCCAGGTCCATGGGTGTCATCTTTACCTCTGCAGGGAGAAGATGCAGGGTGTGTTAATAGGATTATATAGAAATCCTGCTGAAGGGCGGTGAGATGACGACGCAGTGGGTAAAGATGCCAGCCGCCAGGTCCGAGGACCTAACTTCCAGCCCGGGAGAGTCGTGTGGTAGAAGAAGGGAACTGACTTCCTAGGTTGTCCTTTTATATCTACATGTGTGCCCTTCCTTCCAAACACAAATTAAAATAACAAAAGTCTTTGGCTTCTTGTACTAGGAATGGGCACAGCAGATCCATTTTTTTTTTTTTTATAACTTAATGCTGTGTATGCGCCCTTTATAAACCAAGATGTTACTAGCCATGCTTGAGAAGACATTTCAGGACAGTGGGGATGAACATCAGCATTTAAAAGCCCAGCACAAAGCCAGCCGTCATGGCTC